GTGCTATGTGGGTGAGGGTGTTTGTGTGTGTGCTTGTGAGGGTGCTGTTAGTGTGCTGTGAGGGTGTTGTGTGTAAGTGTGCTGTGTGTTTGTGAGAGTGCTGTTAGTGTACTGTGTGTGTGTGTGAGGGTGCTGTATGTGTGTAGGTGCTGTGTTTGTGTGGGTGCTGTTTGTGTGCTGTATGTGTGTGGGTGCTGTGTGTGTGTGGGTGCTGTTTGTGTGCTGTGTGTGAGGGTGCTGTATGTATGTGTGTGCTGCGTGTGTGCTGTATGTTTGCAGGGATTGTGGGGGTGGGGGTGGAGGTGGGGGCAGATTAGTAAATATCCCCCCTCCCTTCTTACCTTATGTAGGTAGGGGGGATCCTTGCTGCCATGTGCCATCCCTGGTGGTCCAGTGGAGAGTGCACTCTCGCGAGATCTGAGTGTTGCCACGGCTAGAGCTCCCTGGGTCCTCTCCTGCCTCCCTCCATGCTGTTGTGGGCCGGTGAGGTAGATCTTTGGATAGCACCGGCTCTGCATGAGCCGACAGGGGAGATCCTGAGATCTCCCCTGCTGGTCTCAATCCATAGGCGTGCCACGGGGATTAGTGTGTGCCCAGGCACACCCGGCACAACCCGTGCAAACGCCTATGCATACAATATTACTTGCACGTAATAAAGAGGGGCAAAGAGGGGCAGTAACATCATGCAGAGGAGACAGCAGGGCAGCAGGGTGAGTGAGACCGGGCTGCCCGGAACGCACGGAGACCACGCGGTTCCGAAAAAATGGCCGCTGAGGCCACAAAGATCAAGTGCGGCTCAGTAAGCGGCGGGGGGCTACGGGGAGCAGCTGGAGAGTGAGGGGGGGGAAGAGTGGGGGCAGTAGAACCCAGGAGGGAACCGCCAGAACGTACAGGGCAAGATCCGTCTGGGGGGAAGCCCCGGGGGAAACCCCAGGATGGTGAAACAGGGCAGAGCAGAAATCCAAACCCCTTAACAGGAAGCAGGGCACCCACCCCTCAAACAGCTCAGCCCCAGCCACTTATACAGAATACAAGTAACACAGCAAGTAAGTACCATGCAGAAAAACAACCCAGAGCAGAGACAACTCTGAGTTGGTGAGTGCTCACCTGGAGGCAGCAGCAAAGAAAGAGGAAGTGGGAGGGTCTGCCTAAGTGGTTTTATACTGATGTTATTTTGTTCTGATTGTTTTGAAAAGTTCTGTTAACTATTTCTTTGCTGCTGTAGGTTTCAGTAAAGAAGGTAAAGCAAATATGAAGCCTCCTGTCCTGCCATAAAATTAGAGCTAACAGACTCTCTTACCTGAGAGAGATGATCATCTTTTTAATGTTGAATTTAAAAAAAAAAATGTTTTAAAAAACCAACGTTAACCAGGAAAGAATTTGTTAAATGGCCTCAACACCTTCCTCCACTCTCTGGGGTGTCTAGTAGAGGGTAATACAAAAATAGGGGTTAGATGGTCCCCAAGCTACCTACCCCAATAATAGATGAATCAGGGGAAGCTCAGTTCTCATGTCCTCATTGTCACAGAGCCAGTGGAGGTCCATTCACTCTGGTCCAAGAAAATACCCAAAGCTAAGGACTAAGGGATTCCAGACCACTACTTGGTCTTGTTTCCAGAAGGAAGGGTATGAACTCGTGTTCTGGATTCAGCATGTTTTGTTATAGTACTGCAGAAACCATTTTTTTGCCTGTCCAGAATTGACCAGAAGAGTTTCATACAAATATAAAGACAAAAACAAACATAATTTAGGAGGAATTTGAAATCTCTCACAGATGATCTCATAATTTTTTCTCCTTTCATTTGCCCAGGCTTCTGACAGAGAAGTTATCTGTGTGATGCGTCTCACCATGGTGTTGCTTGGTACTGCTGGCATGGGTCTAGCCTTTCTGTCAAGTTCTATTTATGACCTGTGGTTCCTCAGTGGGGAGCTGGTTTATGCGCTGTTGTTTCCACAGCTGTGCTGTGCCCTTTTCATCTCCAGCACCAACACATATGGCTCAGCAGCCGGCTTCATTGTTGGCCTTGTTTTGAGGCTTCTGGGAGGAGAACAATCCTTAAAGATACCTCCTCTTCTGCATTATCCAGGGTGCACTCTGATTGATGGCGTCTACGTCCAACTATTTCCATTCAAGACATTCACGATGTTGGTTAGCCTGACTACTATAGTTATTGTATCATACTTGGCGCAGGTTATGTTCATGAAGAAAGTGTTGCCAGTCCACTGGGATATTTCAAAGGTGTTTAGAAAAGAGATATTACATCATTCACAACATGAGTTGCAAGAACAAGAAGCACTACAACAAAACTGAGAACATTCATAAAGTCACACCAAGTAATTCATGAACTTCCAAAAATAAATAATATGCAATCATACTGCTGGATAAACAGTTTATATTTCTAATTTAACTGTACAGAACATAATATATGTAGACAAACAATCCATATTTGTATAAACATACGGTGGAAAGATATCAGTTTCTACATCAAAATGTTTTTTTTTCTTATTATAAACAGATGTTATTATAGCTGATATCGCAATATGTATTTAGCAAGGTCTTTGTCGATGTCAGGATATTTATAATAGGGCCAATTCTGGTCTATCAGATCTGAAAAACAAATATATAAAATTTAAATCTGTAAATAATCTAAAGCTATGTGATAATGTGTTATTAGTATGTTCGAGCTTAGTAAATGTGCATTTTCTTTTGTTTTACCTTTTTTGTATTCTTTTTTACTTTTCCTTGATTTCATGAATAACAGTATTATGAATAGATTTTATGGGGTAACTTAATATTTGTTCAAAATGTAAACCAACAGATTCCTAAAGTATATTAAGATTCTAGAAGCAGATAATAATTTTGACCAATTCTTCAAAAAGAAATATCTCCCACAATTGTATTTTAAGATGAATTCTTCTAAAGTATTCTACTTTTCAAGATTACCAGGTAAAAATGGTGTGGTCTCTGTTGAGTTACTTTCTGAATTATTTACATGCATAGAAAAGTTTGTCTCCAATTAAATATTCAACAAATAAGTGTGTATTTTGGTGTACGATTGCATAATGAACTTCTAGTTAAACACAAGCTGATGAATATAATGTATATCTTGCTAAACATACACGAGAAAATTGCAACTTAATAGCAAAGACAATCTGTCCAGACATACTCCACATGGTTATACAAGAGGGAATGACTAAAGTGGCAGTTATCAAACCACTAGCAGGGTGTAACCTGAACTCTTCAAATATGTCAGGCCCAGTGTTAATTTTGTCAACTAACAATTGTAGTCAAATTTTAGTCGACTAAAATGTTTGAGATTTAGTCGACTAAAAGTAGACTAAAACTAAAACAATTCAGATGACTAAAATATGACTAAAACTTAAATGGCTTTTTAGTCAAAAGACAATGACTAAAACTAAATTGAAATTGAAATAGTGTCAAAACAGTTTTCCTAACATTATAGTGTCCCTCTGTCCCTGCTCCTTACCACGAGTGAAGGGTCAAATAACCATTTTTTTTTTTACTTATCCGATTATAGCACTGAGGTCCCTCTGCACTGGATCGCTCCTCACTTTCTCCTACCAACAGCAATTGGGGGAACTTCCAGCGTCGTTTCAACAAGTTAAACTCCATGAAAATCCAGGAAGCGCCTCTCTTGGCTGTCTGTTAGAAAGCAACTGGAGGCAGTCTTAACCCTCCAATATTTTACTTTCCAGGGTTGAAAGGACAGGGGCACTTCAATGAGATGATGTGGTCTGGCTGCCTATACTGTCCCTTTATATTTACCCTTAATTACATTCCAGCCGATACGATTTATAGCAAGTTTATTGGCTCCCGATAAGCTTTTTATCGGTTCAAATTAAAATTACCACCATTAAAGGCTTATTGGGAGTGAACAAATAGCGGTTGGAATAACAGACTTTTGAAAAACATAAAAAATTGATAATACACTTACCATTGAAAATATCAGATTCTGTGATTCAATGCCACTTATTGAGGACATAATCCTCAATAATCTGCAGGCAATATAATTAGGTCCCCACTGGTTTATTAAAATGAGAGCCCCCACCCGCAGATAGTGGATTGGGGCCGAGGGCACTAGGTCACTTATTTTAATTCTAGCTTTCACCCGCTGACTATGGTTGGGGGCAAGGGGAAAATATTAAGTCCCCCCACATAATGCCCGGGCGGTGCGTCCATGAGGGCGGACCTCACCACCCGGGCGCAGCCTGAGGAGAGGGGCTGACAGGAGGGAAGCGCTCAGCGCTCAGCGCTCCCTCCTGTCACTCCCTCACTGTAGCGTGGCCGAGCCCTGTATCATGGTCCGCGGGTACAGGGAGCATCTGTCTCCTGTACCCGGCAGGACTAACAGGAAGTGCACACCGAGTGTGCACTTCCTGTTAGTCCGGCCGGATACAGGAAACAAAAGCTTCCTGTACCCGCGGACTATACTGGGCTCGGCCACGCTACAACTGAGGTGGGGGGGAGGGGGGA